GCCTGCGCACGCCCGGGGCGCCTCGGGCCTCCGGAGACCGCGGGGGCTGGGGTGGGGGTGGGGCGTGTCAAACTGCACTTCCGTGAACCCTGGAGATTCTGATTGGTCTAGTCAGGCCTGGAGCTCAGGAATCTGCGTTGTCACGAGCATCCTTCCCCGTGGATGCTTTTGATGGCGGAGGGTGGTGGACCGAAGTTGGAAAAACCATGATCTTTTGTCTAGGCAGGCCCCGCGTTTCTTCCAGCCTTGATTTAGCAAGCGCTCACTTAGCCAGTCGCTGTGTTACCTGCGCGGGATGCGGGCTTGCCAGAGATCCGGCCTTCCCCGGGAGGGAGGCTCGGGAGGCTCGCAGGGTCAGGTGCAGGGGACCCAAGCAAACAGACGAACGAACGGTCATGTTTTCTTTACCACGTGCGGCTTGTCCAACGTCAGTGCTCCTGCGCCACCCTCTGAGACTGGTGGGTGTCATTCAGTGTCTCACCTGGCTTCTCTTTTAAGAAGGTGTTTGGAACCTTTTGGGTTATGAATTGGGAGACAGAATATTTTAAAATATGCTTTTGGAAATTTTTGAAGATGATACTGAGATGAGTTATCAAGGAGCAGTTGTGATGTGAATTGTCCATGTGTGGCTGATTCGTCTCAGAATGGTAAGACACGATCGTTTCGGTTCTGATTCATATCTTGGACTGATTTGTTCAGGGCTTCTTTCTAAAGCTTCAGCTACAGTGAGAAAAAAATTCCAGAGTTGTGAATCAGGCTACTTACTTCTGCTGGCCCTTTGTTGAATGTTGAATATTCCTTTCCCCAGAGCATGTTAGATTCATAAGATTTCTTCAAAACATCAGGGAATTTAACTTGGAGCAATTACTACATCTTTGAGTGTGTGCATCTGTATGTGTGTCTTTTTTTTAAAATCAGGAACGCTATGATTTACTAACAGTGTTTAGCTGTTTCCAATGACAATTTGAAATAGTCCAAGTTTCTAAAAATTCCCCCCCCCCCTTTTTATTCATTGTGAAATGGATCTCCCTTCTCTCTGCAATTTGGGGACTATAAATGTTGCCATTGTAAGGACTACATCCTCTCCTGTTAAGTTTACTTTCTGATCTATCTCCTGCCCAATGAATTAATAATTTGCCAATAGGTAACTGCACTTATATTTCAATTAGTGAATCATCCGGAAAGTATACTCTTTATAATGAAGTTAACAGTCAAAAGCAACCATGAAAGCTGTTATAAGAAATAAATACAGCACAGTGGCAGGCAGAATTCCTCCTCAACACCAGAATGCACAATAGAGGAGAGGGTTTATCTCAAGTGGTAGAGCATATGCTCTGTATGCATGAGGTCCTGGGTTCAATCCCCAGGACCTCCTCCAAGAATAAATAAATAAATAACCTAATTACCTTCCCTCACCAAAAGCAAAATGCACAATTGCATGTGGCAAGAAATACCTCTGCAGCTGGCTTCAGTGGTAAATGGGGAAAACTGAATTTTGCAAAGTTTTGTATGTTTTTGTGGTTTCTTGTCCCTAGTCTTTCTCTGTCTTTCCTAACATTCACTTTCTTCAAAGCTACAGAGGAAACATAAGTCTCTTTTTCTCAAAGGTACCTAATATTGTTGACATAGACCAAAATAACCAATTTCATGTTTCTGTGTATTATCTGGTGTGATTTCAGACAGGCAGACTGGATAATTATTACTGGATAATTGCTAAATACGAGAAGTGGTTGAGGAAGGAGAGCTCATGGTGGAGCGCAGATGGTCCGGGAACTGGTGGAAGACAGATGGTCTGGCTGGGACTTAAACGGTGGGTGGGAAATGTTGGCTGGCTCAGTACAGCAGTCGTGGGGGAAAAAGCTGCCCTGACTTGGGAAGAGGCGAGTTTGACCAGCAGAAGGGTTCTGTTGGGATTGCGGGGAGTGCTGAGGGAAGTCCCATGAGGAAAAGTGGAGCCTGGTTGTGGGAACCCTGAGAAATAACCCTGGAGGCTGGAGAGATATCTGCACACTTGTGTCCGTGGCCATTTCCTCATAGCCCAGTCCCTGAGCCCCCAGACTGCCTTCCTGTGCTCCAGGCTGCGGACACTGAGCTCCCGGCCATCTCAGCTCCCATTTTGCCAGAGCCCTGGGGTTAGTCTGCTCCGGCTGCTGTGACATCACCCCACAGGCCTCCCCCACGGAGAATTCCCCTCCAGCAGTTCTGGAGGCTGCAAGTCTGAGGTTAAGGTGCTGGCAAGTTTTGTTTTCTCCTGAGGCCTCTCTCCTTGGCTGGCAGGCATCTCCCTTGTTACTGTGTCCTCCTGTGACCCTTTCTCTGTCCTCACAAAAGTACACATGCCCTGGTGTCTCTGTGTGTGTCCCACTTTACTCTCTTATAAGGACACCAGTCAGATTCTTCCCTCTAATCAGGACAGCCTCTAATGCCCAGGGGCGAATTGAGACCAGTGGAAGCCAGGCCTGGGCTGCTTTCATTCTGGAACATTCCCTTCCTTTTCTTTTATTAAAGCAAAACCAAACCAAACCAGAAGACTTGTTGTTAAAGAAAAATTATACTTCAAAATAGTTCAGGGTACAAAGTCCTTTATTTCTCTTCTCACATACTCATCCCACACCGTACTCTCCGGAAGTAAAATGTGGCCTGTCTTTTCCATACAAACACACATACTTACACTTTTTAAGTGCACATGTCATTATAATATACATGTTGTCCTGCGCCTCACTTTTTTACCTCGCATATCTTGGGTATCTTACATTTTAGGAGATACAGTATGTGATGTTCACCATTTTCTTTTAAATGCCACATGGTATTCCATACCACATAGCATGACTCTGTCAGTGTATTTAACCAGCCCCTTATAAATGGACATTTTAAGGTGTTGTCTTAGTTCTATATAAAACTAACCTAAATATATATATATAACTACTGTATATAAAACAGATATACAACAGATTTCTTTTGTATAGCACAGGGAACTATATTCAATATCTTGTAGTAGTCTATAGTGAAAAAGAATATGAACATGAATATATGTATATGGTGGACTGAAACATTATGCTGAACACCAGAAATTGACACAATGCAAACTGACTACACTTCAATTAAAGAAAATATATATATATATAAAACTAAAACTACTGTGATAAAAATACCATAAAACTGGATAGCTTGTAAACAACAATTTATTTCTCAGTTTAGAGGCTGGGGGTGTCCGAGATCAGGGTACCAGCAGATTCATTATCTGATGGGGACTTGCTTTCTGGTTCATTGATGGCACCTTTCACCGTGTCCTTTCATGGTGGAAGGGGTCCAGGGAGCCCTAAGGTTCTGTTTTATAAGAGCACTGCTCTCATTCATGAGGGCTCCACCCTTATGACCTAATCACCCCCAAAGGCCCCCACCTCCTACAGCCGTCACATTGGGGGTTAGGATTTCAACATATGAATTTTGGGGGGACACAAGCATCCAGACCTTGGCGGTTGTCTGCTCTTCCCTGTTACATGCTGCCGTAGTGAATATTCTTGTGTATCTCTGTGTGCTTGGGCAGTGGTTTAGTAGGACACATTTCTAGAAGCAGTACTCCATGGTCAAATTTTAAAATTTGATAGATGCTGCCACATTGGCCTCCAGAAAAGTCGGACAGGTCTGTATTCATGCCAACAATATGTGAGTTACTTTCGTTCACTATTATGTGAAAGGTAAGAGAGCAGAGTGATTAAGAGCTTGGGGTCTGGAGTCAGAACCCTGGGTGGGAATCGTGGTTCAGTGACATTAACTGTGTGCCCTTGGTCGAGTCACGTACTTCTCTGAAGGTAATAATGCAGGGCTCTGCAAGCAGCAGCCAGACAGGCGGCTGCAGGGAACAGATGGGACCCAAAGAGATTACAGGTCCCTGCTTTCACCCCCTTTGTTGAGTTTCACCTCCATTTGATGAGAGAAGCTCATTAAAAACCCACCCGCTCCTGCCCCCAGAGGGCTAACGACATTCATCGTGTTAATAAAAACTGGACTAACATTTGGATGGCACTTGCTCTGAGCCCCGCACTGCTCTAAATGTATGTAATAACTCATTTGGGTACTATGATTATTATCACTACCCCCATTTTTACAGATGAGAAAGGTTGAGGTAATGGTATTTTAAAAATTTGAGAAGGATTTGAATCCAGACAATCACTTTGGCCTTGGCAGGCAGTGGGAGTTGGGGTGGGGGTCAGGAGGTGCAGATGGGTATGTCTGTATTTCTGTATGATAGAATCCTAGAAGTGAAATTGAAGATTTAAAGGGGAGACCGTGTATTTTGATAATGCTACCCAGTTTGCCCTGCAAAGAGTTTAAATGAACAGTGGAGGATCTGTTTCAAAAACTTCTTGAGTTCAAATCTCTTGCACTGTTAATTGTACAGGTAACTCAGCTTTTCTTTGTAAAAGGACATGTACACTCACTTTTGATTATAAAAGGACAGTCATATTTGTCATCTGTGATCCAAGAGGAGAGGCAAAGGGCATTGCCAGGGAAAGCATCCACCCTGAAAAGAGTGGTAACTAAGCAGACCCGGGTGGACCGTTTCTTGTTCTCTACATGGTGTTGTGTCCTCAATCTTAGTATGTTCCAAACTGTAATGATTGTCTTCGGGAGTAGCAGGCAGCGAGGCTGCAGCAGTCAAAGGTCAAATATCCATAGGTCCACGGTCTTCAGAATGAGGGAGGTGATGCTGAGAGCTGCCCTTGAAAGCAGGGTGCTGTTGCAGGCTCCTCTGAGAGCCAGGGCTCCTGCCTGCACGGGATGCAGCATGTGCTGTGCCCAGTGAGTCAAAGAACCACAGTGACTGAACAGAAAGTCTTGCAGCCATTTTCAGAGTTTGATGGAAACTTTGCCCCTAACTTATCATCTCAGAATTGAAACTTGAGTCATAGCATTGCTACAAGTGAAAACAAATTGATCAAGAATGTTAAGGAAAATGCTGTATCTTGGAAGTTACTCAGTAGTTCTTAGATTCACAGGATGCCAGACTAGCTTTTGCCAGTTTAAGAATTATTTCCTTGCTGCTTGATGCTGAGGCCCACAACTGAGAGCAGAGGGTAATGTGTTTTTGTAATTTAAATCCCTGCTCTTTCAGAGTTTTATTTCTCTCCTGATCCTGGTATCAGTAGCTTTTATTTTACCTTGATTTGTCTGTATCTGTGTATTTGAGATTCTGAAGAATAATTGAGGATTTTTTTCAACTACCACATCGACATAAGTCCACAGGGTTTCTATACCTTAAAAAATGTAAAGAATGCTTATAAAATATCGTCTTATTCACCAGTTGTACTTTATTTTCTAATATGATTGTCTATGTCATTCCCTGGTCACTAAAAATGCTTGCTGAAATATACAGCTGGATGTAACAGTACTGAAAAAATAATGCATGTTTTTAGCAGGCATTTTGAAGTCCCCATGCTGTGCTTGACACTGAGGACACTCACTCAACTTTCTGTCATCAGGCTGTGCATATTAGAATTAGCCACTGCCAGTTCACGGAGGAACCGAATTCCTTTACTGTAGTGAACTTTGGGATGAACTGTGTATTAGGTTGCTAGAGAAACAGACACAGTAGGAGTTGATGTAGATGTAGACATAGATGTAGCTGTGGATACAGACATGAGGTTTATTATAAAGAATTGGCTCACGAGGTTATGGATTGGAGGCTGGAGGTCCTAAGATCTGTAGGCTGGAGACCTTGGAAAGCTGATAATAAAGTTCTAGCCTGGGAGCGAAGGCCTGAGATCCAGGGGAGCTGATGGTGTGTTTTGGCCTGAGTCCTATTCTGAAGGCGGGAAGTCTGAAGGCGGGAGAAGTGGTACCAGTGTCCCAGCCCAAAGCTGTCAGGCAGGGAGAGCAGCTTCCCTCTCGCTCAGCTCTTTATTCTCTTCAGGCCATCAGTGGATTGGGCGAGGCCCACTCAAACTGGGACCAGTCTGCTTTATTTATAAAGGCAGTCTGCTTTATTTAGCATACAAATTCAAATGTTAATCTCAGCCAGACACCCTCCCGGACATACGTGGAACAATGCTTAACCACATATCTGGGTATCTCAGCCTGGTCAAGCTGACGTATAAAATTAATAATCACAAAGTGTTGTGGAATTTTACGGTGGCTGTCCATACCCCAGAGAACATAAATTGTTCAGTATTTTCCTAAATTTGAACAAAATAAAAATGAAATCTGATTTTTTAAAAAGTGGCTTACAGTTAAAAACAAAAATGAATAATCAGCATTCTCACCGTTTGGTGTGGGTGACTGTGGGAAGATTGTGAACTTTGAAGCTAGACAGACAGGTTTACATCCCATTTCTGTGGCTTGTTAGCTGTGGACCTCAGGCAAGCTGCTTGTCTGAACCGTAATTTTGTGGTGTTTTAAAATGAAGAATGCTACTTCATGGTTTAGATTAGAGAAAATCTATAGAAAATGTTTAGGATGCAGTAGACGATCGATAAATAAAACTAGTCATTTGAAAGTAAAGGGTCTTTTGTCCGAAAGTGATGTGACGTTTTTTCATCGACCGATGACAGTGACAGTTTGCAGTCATCGCAGTATGTAACTGCGTCCCGGAGACACGCTTATGAATTACTTCCCAAAGCGTTCTGTCTTGTTCTTTCGACAGAGTTAAATTAGAAGAGAGAGGAGTTGCTGAGAATCCTGTAACAGTCAGTAACGGTGACAGTACTCGTTTATTACCTAGAAAAGCAAAGAAGCGGGCATTTAAGTTGGAGGAGGATGAAGAAACTGAGCTAGCTTACAAGAATTCGAAGAAGCACTGGAAAAGGCACGAGAACAGTAACAGCGAGAAGACCTTGGATCTAGAGCCAAAAGCTGTCGCAGATCAGACCGTGAGTAAAAGAAACAAGAGGAAGAGCAAAGCCACGTGTGCTGTAGTGGAGGATGATGACGGACAGCCCGAAAGAAAATCGCCAAAGAAAAAGGAGAAATGTGAGTATACAAAACAGGCAAGGAATCCCAAGTCTTCGAAAGCACAGTCGGTGAAAGGGTGGCCCATCCAGAAGTGCAGCCTTCCAAAAGGTCCTCCTGCTAGAAACAGCCTTGTTAAAGCGAAAAGGAAAGGTGGCCCCGGCGTTCACACAAAGGACAGCCCCGCTTCCTCCTCCGAGTCTGAGTCTTACCATGAGTCGGCCAGCGATGGGCTCAGCAATGTCATCTTGGAGGTCAGACATTCCTCAGAGAAAGTGTCAGCTGAATTATTGAAGGAAGGATCCTCCGTGAAAAACACGACAGCAAACAAAGTGGCTACAAAGATTGGCTTTAACTCTACCCCCATCAAGGGCAAGACCCCCGGGACATCATCTTCTAGTTCGGACTCGAGTTCGGAGTCGGATGACCCATGCGTGATACCAAAGAGAGGCCCGGAGTGCACTGCAGACTTCTTAAAGACAATAGGCCTCTTTGCAGGAAGAGGTGGTTCCGTTCCGGGGCCCTCATCCCAGATCCCGAGTGCTGCCGAGTGGAAGCAGCCTGACTCACATGGTGGCAGGCCGGCTCTTGGTCCTCCTCCCAACGTGACTCTCCCCGCCAGTTTGGGAAGAGGTTGGGGCAGAGGAGAGGACCTTCTTTCTTGGAAGGGAGCTAGGGGTCGGGGTGTGCGGGGGAGAGGTCGAGGACGGGGGCATGCCATTTCCTGTGTTTTAAATAGAAGTGCTGACTATCAGAAGCAGCAGCAATTGAATGAACTGGTGACAAACTCATCGACTATTATCCAGGTAAGTCTTATTTATTGTGAGTTTACCTCCTCCCCTTTCCTCCCGCATTGTGTCTGGAGTTGATGTTGTGGGTTCACATTTTCTCACCAGTAACAAAACCACATGACCCATACTGTTTTTCAGAATCCTGTAGAGACACACAAGAAGGACTACAGTCTGTTACCGCTGTTAGCAGCTGCCCCTCAAGTTGGTGAAAAGATTGCATTTAAGGTATATTTTTTAAAAACAGCAGCAATTACAACAAAAAGATTATCTCCCCTCCCAATAAACTTACTCATTAGCAGGTCAGGTTACATTTATATTTACAATTTCATATAATTTATAAATTATATTAACACAACTTGATACATTTATTAAACTGTGATTTATAATTATATTTATAAAAACCCTTCCTGGATTTCTATCTCTCATATTCTCTTGCCCAGCCTGTAGTAGGTGCCAGGTAATTGTTTTCTGAATGAATATAAATGTCTCAGCCTGCTGTGTGGAACATCGCAAGTGCTCAAGAAAAAAAGGCTCCATGTGTTGCCAGAAAAACCTCCAAAACCCCCCAAAACCTTTCCTACTGGAACCCGTTTGCCACAGGTTCATGGTAGGGCTCCCAGGGTGGAGCAGTGGGCACCCCGACACTGTGTGTCTTGTTTTCTCAGGGGTCGGGGAGAGGAGCCACAAGACTTGTGTATTTGTGTTTTCTTCTTCTTTTGTAGCTTTTGGAACTAACGTCTGATTATTCTCCTGATGTCTCTGACTACAAGGTGAGATTCTTTATTTTAAAATAATCAAGTGTCAATATATGAAAGAAACTAAAGTCATATTTAATACTGCTACTATGGGCCATATAGATTTTTATGGAGTAAATAATATCATAAGGTAGAAAATGAAAACATTTGTCAGAATGTAAACTTTTTAATAGTATCAGTTTGACGTCTCCCAGTGTTTTTTTTCCTTAGTACTTGGGATTTGGTTGGTTAGTTCCGGGTAATTGGTGTTTCATTATCTTTTTCATCTTCTTAGCCCCTTAATATAGGTGACTGTGTAACTTGCCATCTAAAACAGAACACTTGGGGGTGAATGGGATTGATATTGTATTAATAATTATACTGAAAGGATTGTAAGTGGACCTGACTTGGGCAAACCAGGATGCTTTGTCACCCGACCGTAGATGACTAATTTAATTCTGTGCCATGTGAGGAAATGGAAATACACAGAACTGATACGTCTGCAGCCTCTGGGAATCGTGATTCCAGATGATATTGATACTTTTAAAGCTCATATTAAATGGATGTTAGTCGTGATAGTTATTATCTTGGAAAGCTATTTCCTTGCTTTATTTCCCAGTATTTATAGAACTCTTTGAAATTGCTCTTAAAACCATTTCGAGAGTGAAAATCAGTACCACTGTTTTGCTTTGAAGTCAGGTGCTGTTACTCAGCTCAATCACCCGCTTTATTCATTAAGCTTGTCTTTAAAAGTCAACTCAGTCTATCTTCAAAGAACGTAGTCTCCTCAGCCCCTGACTCTGTCTCATTTGTGTCTGTGGGATTTTAATTTGTGGAGGTGACTGAGTGATGACACAGACAAGCCAATGCTATTGGGAGAGGAATTTATTACTTACGTCGCCGGAGAGGAGGGGGATGCCCCGCCAGGCAGGACCACAGGGGACAGAGCCCGGTGGGGTTGGGAGGTGGAAGCAGGAGGGAAGAGAAAGCCTGGGCTGTAGCCTTGGTGGGGGTTTCCTCGGGATAGGCAAGGCCGGGTGGGGGAAGCAGTTTGGAATTGGCTACTTGGAATAATTAGGGGCTGCCCCTAGTTGTGTGGTGGCTGCTCCTGGGGTGATTTAGACCAGGGGAAACACTGGCTTGGTGTGCGGGAATTTTATTTCCCTTACATGTTGATTTCTTTAAAACTTTTTAAAAATTGAGATTAAAATTCTCATAAAATTCACCATTTTAACTATTTTAAAGTGTGCAATTCAGTAGTTTTAGTATATTCACAGTATTTCACATATTGATTTTTGACTTGGACTTTTATTTTTGAAAGGAAGGAAAAATATTAAGCCATAATCCGGAGACCCAGCAAGTAGATATAGAGATTCTTTCGTCCTTACCTGGTGAGTCTTGTAGAAGAAAGATGGAGGAAAATGGGGGCTTTTCATATTCACAGTGGTTTCTAAACAGCTTTTTCACCCAGGAGCTGCTGTCTTCCTCAGCCTCTGTGGGTAGCGGGCACTCTCCACTCCCTGTCTGCGCAGAGCAGCCTGCAGGGGGCGGCGGGGCACCCGGTGCTCCCACTAGTAGAGTTATGTGTCTGCTAAGAGTTGGATTCGTTCCCAAAACTGTTAGGCAAGTTGTTCTTATTACTGTAATTATATAATTTCACAAAAATTACATAAATTGATGAAAAACGATGGCAAAGAAATTATTTCTATGCAACCCAAGTTGAATGCTGACCCAGGATTGTTACTGAAAAATTTGCCTTTGAATTCTATGTGGGTGGGTCAGCTATAAGGGGTTGGGAAGAATTTGGTAAAAATCGAGGGAGATTCTGCACTTAGACTGTGTTGCTAGCTTTGGTATTCTTCCATCACTGAAAAAAACCCTCAAAACTGGAAATTGTGGAAATTGCACACATAGATTAAGGATACGGTTTATAAAAGAAAGACAACTTGTCGGTGGACTCACAAGACCTGCTAGCTGTACTTCAGAAGATTGGCAGAGGAACATGCTTCTGTATGTTAAAATACAATGTATAAAGTACATGTGCATACACACTCTCACATGTTATTTTAAATGGTTCCCTGCTTTACCCCTGATTCACCGCATCCATTATTGGTTCCGAAATCCTGGAATAAGAGGGCTTTTACTGTATGTGACTTAACTTGGATTGTGTTTGTCGGGGTCCCTGGCCAGAGAGTAGAGGAGACCCGTTTTTCTTTCACAGGCTCTAAAGAATTAATTATTTTCTGCTTGTGTTCAAATAAGATCGTGAGTAAAAGATTCAAAACTCCAGAACACAGAAATCATTCAAAAAAGTTTTTCAACAAAATTCGTTTATGATATTAAATAAATGATTAGCTATAACTTACGCTGGTTTTCCAGCTTCCTTCTGATTAGGTTTCATTTGAAGAAATCCCCCCTCATAGGAGTAGTGGATAGAGAAGATTGTTCATGATCAAATTCTGTGGACACAGCCTGATTACTTCTCGTCAGGTGATTGACAGTGATGACATCCAATTACAACTTTTCTTCTTGGAAATACTTTATCTATTTTCTAACAGAAATACAGGTAGTCCTCACTTTGCATGGTTCTGATATATGTGAATTTCAGGAACCACAAGTGAGTTAAATAAAACCAGTCTCCCAATGACGTTTGGTATGCTAACTGCTAACTGTGGGTAATTGCATAAATTACTGTTAGCTCTTCAGTCCGTAAACCACTACATAAATAACAGATCATGATTAGGGACCAGTCACAGCCCCTCTTTCAAAGTCTCTTGGTGGTTGGTGCACATGTGAGTTCTCGAAACACAGCAAAGTATACAACTGTGCTGTCTCCTTGTCTCTCCATGGTAAACCCATGTGACATTCTACAGAAATGGATAAATGAAATAGGGAGTTGGCCAACAAAGCTGAAAACACAACAGAGAAACAAAAAGTGATAATGATAAAAGAGGCATCCAAATCAAGTTTAAGTGGAATCAGAGGAAATAGCTAACCGTGGGGATGCTGACACTGCGGTTTGTGAGGACTTCCTGATACAAATGAGGACAGTGGTTGTGAACGAAAGGGATGAGGAGGTCCTGCAAGTGACGTCAGCAGAAAACTTCACAAAACTGTGAAAAAGAAACTCTCCGAGCTATTTCATGACGTTGAGAGCTCCAAGAATAAAATATTGGAAGCTGATCCAAACTTAGGAGCAGGCCACTTCAGCAAGGCGTGAAAGAGACGCTCACTCTGTACTGTGGTTCCATGACAGAAGGTGAGCGCTGTTCCCACTACCCTCGGTAAGTTTCTTAGAAAGAAACAGAGCACTTTGATCCTCAGTGCTTCTAATATAGTAAATTACAGTGTACTACCTAAATAGTGGTTTTACTCTTTGTTCATTTCCCTGTACAGGAACGGTTTTAATGTCTTGACAAAAACGTTTAAAGATCATGAGACAGTCACAATTTTTCCCATTGATTAAGATTGTTTCACATACTCTCAGCCTGCACGGTCATTTTAACGGCCCCACCCTACCATGCAAAGTGAGGACTGCTCTATTACCAAACAGTAAGCATGTGTAATTTCTGAGGACACAGCAAGATATAAGAATTCTGCCTAATTCTTATTACCTTCCCTTGTTAGAACCCATCAGTTATTTTGGGGGTTATCTTGTGGTTACACACTCTTTGCTGGGACTACTAGTGATAGTGCATCCAGCTCATTTCTTGTGGATGAAGGAAAGATTGTCGCCGATAAATAGCCCAGACCCCTGTCTGTCGGTGCAGGGTTTTCGAAGGATCTCCTGCCACTGAGCACTCCGTACTGCTGTGTGTGTACCCAGCCTCCATGTCAACGGACAGTTTGTGGTTGTTTTACTAGTGATATGAATTCCCTGTACAGGAACATTTTCACTACTGGGAAATGACTTATTGTCTCTCCCCCTACCGTCTGGTTTCAGCCGTGAAAGAACCTGGGAAATTTGATTTGGTTTATCACAACGAAAGCGGAGCTGAGGTAGTGGAGTACGCGGTGACGCAGGAGAAGAGGGTAGGCGTGCTTCTCTTCTCGGGATTCCTTATCGTCTGTTCTCTTGACTGGCTGCTGGTGGTCTGGGAGGTGGCAGTGCAGCTTCCTGAACTGCCTGTATTAAAAGCATAAAGGATCTAGACCCTGGGGATCTCTGTCGTGCCTGCAGTGTGGCTGTAACAGTGCCAAGTGCCAAGTTAGGGTGCCATCTTGGACCTCAGAGAGTCCACGTGACAAGATGCACAAGTAACAAGTCTTATGCAAGAGCACAGAGCTGCGTAAACTCAGTTTTATAAGGGTTTCAGGGGAAAGGAATAGCGCATTATACATTCAGAAAAGTACATGTAAATGTACAACTTGAACGACTCTTACAGATGAGCATACCCCAAGTGGTAACCCACACCCAGATCAGGAAGTCGAACTTGAATGGCCCCTCCTGGAATCTCCAGCATCTCTCCTTGCAGTTACTACTGCCTCCCAAATGTTATCACGATTCTGACTTATAACAGCATAGATAATTTTGAACAGTGACATTAAGCGATGAATCTGCCCTTAGACTTTGTTTAAATTCTTAAATTGTTATTTTAGGAAGTATATGGTTTAGAGCTTTTAGGCAGGCTGACTTCCAGAGGTGCTGGAACGGCTGCCTCCTGGACTATGGTCGTGTTCAAGGGAATAGAATTTATATTAAGGATCTGCTGCTCCTTACGGTGTTTATACTTGAAATGTTATACTATTCTGAGCTTTTAGTATTGCACAGTCACGTTTTATCTGAAATGTAAACTTGTGGGAATACTAACCAGACTGTATGTTTTTTTTCTCTTTAGAATAGGTGACACTGTTAGAGATTTATTGCAAAAACACATTTTTAGGGTCTCTGGTAGGCTCAGCAGATTTGGCCCAGGCTCCTGTACTTCTTTATTTGCAATGTATGCAGCCCCACTTTTTGTTGAAATGTATTCTTGGAAACTGCGTTGGAAAACTACGCTTTGGAGGCTTTCCTCTTGGAGGCCTTACTAAACGGAGGCCTGAAATAGAGGCTGTAATTACTTTTCTTTGACACTAGATGGCCCTCAGTATTCATCCATACGGCCATTGTTACCTTTGCTTTTCTCTTGGTAAATAAAACATGAAATAGCTCCTATTTTTAGGCAGCACAGGAAAAGAACCACAGAGCTGCACGGACGGCCATCAGCAGACTAGTGATAACCTTTCTGGGCCACATCTGCCTCCCAAGAGGTCTGCGGGCTGCCTGGCAAATCCTCCTGACCCTTTTGCAACCAGCTAGCCCTCCACCCACAGCCCCTGCTCTAAATCAAAGAAAGATGAAATATGTTTAATGTAAAATTTAGCTGCATTCTGGAGAAACAAGTTCTTATACACTAATTGAACTGAGTTCTCTGGGCTCAAATTACTCCAGGTCTTCAGCCATTCTGCACAAATGGAAATTGACTTAAGTTTTTCCTTGACTGACTAAAATTTATATGACCCCAAAATGAAGTCTCTAAACTGAATGTTTTATATTTTTCCCCAGATCACCGTGTTTTGGAGAGAGTTAATTGATCCAAGACTGATTATTGAACCTCCAAATAACACCTAAAATGCGGAGCTTCCCTGAGGGTGACCTTTCCACCTCGTGGTTTATAAATGTCTTATTTGTGAAAGTGAATATAACCTGAACTTTTTTTTTTTGAAGAGGATTTGAGAGTTGTATGCATTTTTGATTATCTTCACTTTATTGCATAGGAAAAAAAATCTACCTCATCATTTAAAATAACATGGGTGTTGCTTTTGTAGACCATTTTTTCCCCACCAGGCTTCATTTTAGTAACAGAATTTAAAACGTAACATTCCTTCAGGCATCGTTTCTAAAGCAGTGTGTATGGTTTCTTCTCTTTTTTATTTTTTATTTTTGACCATCAAGTAGCCTTCGTCAGTAGGAGTTTATAATACCAAGCACGAGAAAGTGCTGCGTATCTTGTCTCAGTAAGTTTTATTAAGTAACATTTAAAAATACAAAAGCATGTTACTTGACTTAATTTTTTAACATTTAGGTGGTTCCATTCAGTGTGGAATATCTACATTTCAAGTATTTTATACTTGTCGTTGTCAAGGGTTCACAGATAGCTGGGTTTGCTGCAGGCATGGAGTTAAGGAATCCTTTCACACTTTTCTCAGCTTTAAAGTGAAGGATTCTCAGGCCTGTCGAGAGCAGTGAAAACAAGCCCCTGTGTGTGTGTGCCTGGGGAGGAACAAGGGCTCTGTGCAGGTGGGGGTTTACTACGAGCTCAGACCAGGGGATGTGTTACCTTGCTGCTAAATCCCAGGCACCTGGCTGAGTGTGCTGGAGTGAGGATCTTGGACAGAAACTTCCTTTTCTGTTATTATTCAACACAAAGCTAAAAAAGGCTAAAATATATACTGTGAAAATGGTTTTCTTTTAACGGAACATCAGATCCCTCCTTCAGCTCTGCAGGTTTTTAAATAAAATCACATTGAAACTAAACTTCCGTGCCGAGTCATCTTGCTTAGTTGAGTTTGTGCATTGCTGTCATGTTTTCCAGGAATGCAAAAGATTAAAATTTTCTGGAACAAGAAGGTTTGCCTTGCTAAAGACTGTGGTGTTGCAAGGTTTAGTCTAATGGAGTTTGTTAGGTCTGGGAGCCGTTGGACCAAAGAAGA